CGTTTTGGCTGTTACAAACAACCGTTATGTGAACAAAATTAATATACCCTTGTGCACAAGTGCGCTCGGGTATAAAAAACTAATAAAAATTTAATAAAATACAATATGTAAAAAAACAGAAAATCGAAAAAATATGAAAAGATCGAATAATCAAATTTTTTTTTCATAAAAAACATTGCCGCAGATCTGTCCAAAATGGAACCAGTTCAGTTGCTCGTTTATGTAACGATTCTCTACCAAGGCGAATTGACGAGAATGACGTACATATATTCTCTACCAGTAGAGAAATAATCGGTAGAGAAGAGTTACAGAAACGAGCTACTGAAAAGAAAAAATATCCAATAATCGAGTTTTAAAACTTTTTCTCATAAAAAACTTATTGTCCCAGAACTGTCTAAAATGTAACCAGTTCAGAAAAAGTTCGAAAGTTCTGCAAAATGGAAGCAGTTCAGAAAAGAAAAAATATCCAATAATCGAGTTTTAAAATGTTTTCTCATAAAAAACTTATTGTCCCAGAACTGTCTAAAATGTAACCAGGTCAGAACTAGTTCGAAAGTTCTGGGATAGATCGAGAACCAATACCGCCTCTTAAGGAGCTAGTTCTGCGCTAATTCTGAACTAGCCCGATTTACTGCAGGGTAAGAGCAAAACGTATATACGCGCAAATGAAGCAGACTAAACGGCGAAGTTGATTTCTATTCGACAAACTGTTTAACTCGACATGAGCTTCACCGATTCAAACACGAACTGGAACCCATATGCGCCTACTGCGGAGAAGATGTAATAGAAGACGTATTTTTTGAGTGTATGCGACTTAAAAGTACCAGATGCAAGCTTCGCAACGAAGTTTAGTTAAACTCAGTTTAAATTTAAACTATATTTAAACTAGGGATGTTCCGATACAAGTAAATACGAGTACGTAATCGATACTTTTGTTTCGATACCAACTACTTTTTTTACTCGAATCATTGTTTCGATTCATACTTGGTATCGAAAGAAAAGTACTTGTATCGAATCTATTTGAGCAAGTGCCATATCTTGTCAGCGTCGTTTTTATGAAAATATTTGCTTTAAGCAATGACACCGCCAAAATCTAAAGTATGGATATATTTTTACAAAATTACTGATACCACAGCAAAGTGCAAGCAATGCTTTAAAACCGTAAAGTTTTGCGGGAACCTTTCAAAGGTTGAAATTGTTGTCTAACAGGTCTATTCTGCGCTGGTAACATAAATTGTGTAACCGGTAATTAAAGTGTCTGTCAATTTTTAAACCTTTTTCGCATTCTGTGCGCTCCTGTAACCGGTAAATTTGGTTACCATCTCATGAGCTGGTAACAAAATATTGCCCCGTGAAATATGCAGTACAAGAATTTCCACAAATCTCCATAGCTGAATTGCTGAATATATTCACTGCATTACCAACGTACCTAGAATCGCGGTGACAAGAAGTGGTAACATTTTTTGGTAATACAATTTTCTGCTCACGAAATCTTCGGTAACGTGCAGAATAGACCTGTTAGTAATGAATAAATATACATATCGTTACTAATGACGAAATATACATATCGACACCTTAGTGGAAGCCAGTTCGAAAACGCCCTATCTCCGAAAACTTTTCAAGAACGCCCTATTTCAGACAGAAATTGTAAAACGCCCTATCTCAGAAATCTTTTCAAGAACGCCATATTTCAGAATTTGGTTCAAAAACGTCCTATCTCAACTGAAAATACATATATTGAAAAAAATGTTGAGATAGGGCGCTTTTGAACCGAATTATAAAATAGGATTGAAAAGTTTTCAGAGATAGGGCGTTTTTCAATCAATTTCTGAAATAGGACGTTTTTGAAAAGTGTTCTGAGATAGGGAGTTTTCGAACTGGCTGTCGGGATAGGTCGGTCTTCCACTCACTGTATTGTAAATACAATATAAATTGCTATTTATTTTTCGTTCATATTCAACAAAATAATTCAAATAAAAAATGAAAAGTGTTTAAAGTCATATTTTTAGTTATTTACGCCGTGTCATATACAATGTGTCGCTATGCGTCGTGATTTTTCGGATTTTGCATGAAAAACGCATAACGCAAAAGGAATGTNGCGTCGTGATTTTTCGGATTTTGCGTGAAAAACGCATAACGCAAAAGGAATGTCACAGATAACGCCAGAAAATCACTTTCACTTTTTTGCATATAAAATGATGAAAAATTATCGATAAAAGTAGGTATCGATACTTTCGGTTTACTCATATAAGTATCGAAATAACGATTTGAGTAAACTCATTTAAGTAGGTATCGATAATTTGATGGTATCGGAACGTCCCTAATTTAAACTACTGACCAGTTTTTCGGTGCGAGTTTAAGGCCGCTTCATAGTTTGGTTGTTTTGTAGGGCAACACTGTTTTCTTCTTTATGCAGATACAAAACTTCAACCATTTATCTTCACTTTTGATACCATCGCGTTTAAAGTTCTGAAACATTATAAACGGAAATTTAAAGATTTTTTGGGCGCTTCATTTGTTGCCCTACCAAATTGCCCTATGCAAGTAAACTCCAACTCAAGTTGCGTTTGTTAATTTTCTGGTGCACAATTTTCATCTGACGTATGAGCCTTTCGCTTATTTATGTATGTGCCATTATACAAACGAATCTGTTTTCGTGTATTTCGCAAACAATTTAATTTTTTGCTAATATTTCTATATTTTGGCAGCTGACTACAAACATACAGCCCAATTCTAAATATCTCGCGGAATTTGTCACTTGCGGAATTTACCGTTCTGTCAGAAAAAATCCGGCTATTTTAAACAGGCGGAGAGAGGGATTTTAAGTGAGTAGGAATTTTTCACATTCGAAATCAGCTGATGAGGCGGTAAGTGACATTTCTCGTTTTATTATTAAAGTTGATTTTTTTATTGGTTGCGGAAATTTAATTAGAAATGAATAGTTTGGCTCTGAATTTATTAGCGATTTAATAAACCCATTCGATCTGCCACAACCTTTGTAAGTGAATAAATATCTTTTATTATGTATTTCTATTATTTTGATGGGTTTTTATAGGTTCATGAAATACTTTCGAATCAATAAATCTGGTTTTAAATATTTGCGTAATGTGCTAATAAGCCAAACTCCGCGAGGTAAGAAGAAGTTTGCAATCCCATTTATTGTAAAACTTTGCACTTGTCTGCGTTTTTTGACTACAATGTCGCACTAGCCCAATCCACTCTGAGCAGAGTCCTTAATCAAGTGTTGGATACGTTTCAAACATATCTATGCCCCGGGCAATTGCAACGGCGTTTTATCAAAAGCAAAAAATACCAGGCGTTATCGGGTGCGTTGATGGAACGCACGTTCGAATCATCGCTCCTTCAGAAAACAAACACCTCTACTACAACCGAAAGGGTTATTATAGCATGAATGTTATGCTGGTGCAGTTTGGAAGTATTGATATTTTGTATACTTAAATAAAATAGAGTAAATATTTCCAGGCTTGTGACCACGAATTAAAAATACGGTTTGTTGATGCTTCTCATCCTGCCGCTTGCCATGACTCGTTCGTCTGGAACAAAAGCGAGGTACGAAGATACTTTGAGGGGGAATTTGCGACGCATAGAAGAAATATTTGGCTTTTAGGTGAAATTTTACTCCATTTTGTACTATATTTAATAATAATTGTTTATCAATACTTAGGTGATGCGGGATATCCACTGGAACCGTGGATTATGACTCCATATAGAACTCCAGAGGACGGTTCAACGGAATCACGCTTCAATGAAATGCATTCCAAATGTCGCAATATTATTGAACGCACGAATGGAGTTTTGAAGGCCCGACGGAGGTGGATTCTTTCCGCTCGAGAGCTACATTATTCGCCTGAAAAGGCAGCGAAAGTCATTAATGTTTGTTGTTGCTTACACAACATTTGTATCCATTTTAAGGTGGATATTCTCGAAGACCATATTGAAGACGAAATCCGTGATATGGAACCTATTGTAATTACGTCAAAAAACCACATGGAAATTGCGAGGTCAATAAGATGTAATATCCGCGATTCAATTTCTACTTGAATGATTGTTATACCCGAGCGCACTTGTGCACAAGGGTATATTAATTTTGTTCACATAACGGTTGTTTGTAACAGCTAAAACGAATCGAGATAGATATAGACAAATGTATACATAAATGCTCAGAATGAATAGAGAAATCGGTTAAGCCATGTCTGTCTGTCCGTCCGTCTGTCCGTCTGTCCGTCCGTCCGTGTACACGATAACTCGAGCAAACATTGAGATATCTCAACGAAATTTGGTAAGTAGGTTTCTGTTAATCCAAGGTAGGTTGGTATTGAAAATGGGCGAAATCGGACAATAACCACGCCCACTTCCCATATAACGGTAATTTCCAGAAATACGAAAACTGCGATATTTTAGTAACTACTGAAGATAATTCACTCAAAATTGATATTTACAATAATTTTTAGACGAAAAATAAGAATATTATAAATTTTTGGAAAATGGGCGTAGCCACGCCCACTTATGGTTACATGTGTATATCTTGGTAACCGCTGCACCAATTTCTTCCAAACTTGGCACAGTTGTTGGCCTTGGTACAGCATAAAAAATCGCCGAAACTTTTTAAAATCGGACAATAACCACGCCCACATCCCATATAACGGTAATTTAGAGAAATACAAAATCTTCGATAAATCAGTAAATATTGAAGCTAATTTATTCAAAATTGATGCTTGCAACAATTCTTTACCAAGAAATACGTTTATGGTAAAATTTTGGAAAATGGGCGTGGCACCGCCCACTTATGATCACATATATGTATATCGGTAACCGTTCTACCAATTTGTACCAAACTCGGTAATTTTATTGTTGTGCTTGCCACATAAAAGCAAAACGTTGAAAATTATTGAAATCGGACTAAAATTACGGCCGCTTTTCGAATAACGGTAAATTTCAGAAATCCTTGAAACTTCAATATTTCGAAATTTAAGGACGCTAATTTACTCAAAATTGATACACCCCGGCTTACCATCTAGCGGTAGGTTTCGGAAAGGTGAAAAAACATATATTTAATACTTGCGCCGGGTATTTAATGTTCGGCTCCACCCGAACTTAGACTTTCTTAGTTGTTTTTTAATTAACTTTTATAATAAAAAAGCTGTTTATTATATTATTTCAAACATGTAAAGAAAAATCAGTGTGGATAAAAAACTCAAGTCCATATTCCACGTCATACGGTTTACCGTCATGTGAAAAAATAGCAACTCCGTATTATGTGCAGTTTTGACAATTTTTATTCTAAATGTTTAATGTTAACTAATTTTTGATAAAAGTCTAGCTCATTGTATAACAAACTCCATAAAAATCCACATTTCAAACATTGTAGAAAACTTAAAATAATGCATAATATTTTCACAACAAACATTTTATTTAGAATTTTACGTAAAGTTCTAAGTTGCAATTTTATAGCCCATTAAGTTCTAGGATCATAAAGTGGCTAAGAATGTTCGAACATACTTTTTATGCAATAAAATAATAACACTGTCAGCAAAAAACTTATCATAAATCATCGCGAATTTTTAGCCACTTGAAGCTTGCACTTTATGATACTAGATCTTAATGGGCTATAAAATTGCAGCTTAGAACTTTACTTAAAATTTGAAATAAAATGTTTGTTGTAAAAATATGTTGCATTATTTTAATTTTTGTACAAAGTTTGAAATGTGGATTTTTATGGCGTTTGTTCTACATTGAGCTAGATTTTTATCAAAAATTAGTTAACATTAAACAATTAGCGCTGTTTTCTTAAGTAACCTTTAGCTCACGTTATATTTAAAGGTTGGATTAAAAATAAAGCTATGTCTAAAGTTAAGCAGTTGACGTATGAATGTTTCTAGGTTGTAAGCCAATTTAAACCCGATAATAAAACTTTTTACTTTAGACATAATCATAAATTTTAATGCAACCTTTAAATAGAAAGTAAGCTTTAAAGTTACAGGTTACTTGATAAGACGGTACTTAGAATAAAAATAGCCAAAACTGCTCAAAATGTCGTGTGCCTATTTTTCTTACAGGGCTGTACCTACTAGAACTAACTATAACTATTAAATGAATAATAAAAATACTAATAATAATAATAATCGCAAGTCCGATTTTACACAAAAATTTTATAATAAAATATAGTTCATTCCATAACATTAGCCATATACATAAATCAAAGTGTCATACTTTTTATAAAAAAATGAAACTTTTTATTCAGAATTTCTAGAAAATTTTCGAGAATGCAGTTTTGTGGCCCATTAAATTTTAGTAAATCGAAGTGCACGTTTCAAGTCGCAGGAACTTACCGTTGATTTTTTAGATTTTTTTCTGGTGGGTGTTGCGCATTTCCTTCTAACGCATGTGAAACTTTGATTTATGTATATGGTTTTTGTTATGGAATGGACTTTATTTTCTTAAAGAATTAGTGAAAAGAGTTAGGGCTTGTTCGAGTCTCAATCAATGCGGCAATATTGCGAAGCATCATGTTCGATGTAAAAATGTGGCAACTTTTGCAAATGTCTAGCGTTCGAGCATCTCGAATTTTGACGTTTCATGCGCGCAAAATAGAGAAAAACCGGCATCAGCAAAATTTGTGATGGAAGAAGATAGATAAGCAAAATCGCTATTTATTTAATTTTATAACAAATTATCATAATTTCTTGTGCTCAAATACAGATATTAATGCATTATTTGCATTGTTTTTATTGAATTTTCAGCGAAAAATTGTCCAAGGAGTTCACGAAGCTGCTCGTCAGATCCCGTCTAGACTTGTAGAAGGAATTTTCGTCAGGAAAGCGTAAAAGGTCAGTCTTATGGGGCGAGGTGGTGAGCAATATGATTGCGGTCAATGCTGACGTACCCAATTCAAAGGATTTAATGCAAAGAAAGTTTCTTAACTTGTTTGCGACCTACAAACGCATAAAGAAGCGAAACGGGGAAACAGGGAGGGAAGCGTCATGCTGGGAGTTCTACGAAGAGTTCGACGAGGTGTACGGTAGGCGGCACTCAATCCAGCCGCCGGCGAAAAATCTGCAAAGCTCTATTCCAGATTGCGCTGACGCATATGAAGTGAGTGGTGACGAAAAGATCGACGATTCATTTGAGGGTGAATTCGCAAATAAAGGAAGAAAGCGTCCGAAAACTGCTACCAATGAAGCACTGGAATTTTTTAAAAAAGAAGCTCGAAAGGAGCAAGCTCGCCACGAAGAATTTGCAATCTGCAATTTGAAAAAGAAAAGTTAAGTTTGGAGAAAGAAAGAATAAACACCATGTTGAAGTTACGCGAAACCCTGGAAAAGTTAGCTGAAAAATGAAAACTAAACAAGGAATACAAATGAAATTAAATTGATCTCTTTATTTTTTATTACTTTATTAAAAATACATATGTGATATGTACATCAAACTGAATTAAAATTAAATACATACGAATGTGATATGTACCTGCATACATATACATTTTTTTATTTAAACAAATAAAAAAGTTACGAAACAAACATTATTTTTAAATCATTTCTTTTTATAACTCCTTCGTTAGTATCATTTATGTTTTCAGCCATTTCGGCATCCTGATCTATCAAAGTTTCCGAATTTTCCAATGGATGATTAACTTCAAAATTGTCTCGCAATATAAAATTATGCAAAGTTGCACAAGCTAATAATAATAACATTCGATACGTCTCTCATATTTCGAACATCAATGTGATTTAAAATTTTGAATTTTCCTCTCAAAATTCCAAAGGTTTGCTCAATGAACACTTTAGTTGAACTTAAATAATAATTAAATTGTTTCTCCTCTCTGGACAGATGTCCATTGTCTCTATAAGGCGCGATCAAATATTTTGATAGAGGATAGGCTGAGTCGGCTAAAATTATTGCATCTTTTGCGAGTTCCACCCGTCCAGACGTAATTCCTTTGTATATTGGACTATTTTTCCATACGTTGGCATCATGGCAGCTGCCTGGGTAGCCGATAAAAACATCCAAAAAACTAAATTTACTGTCGCATATAGCCTAAAGCATTTCATATACTTTATATAACGTTTTAAAACAATTTTCGGTTTCCCATGTACATACATACCTGAATTGAATGGTTCCCCTTTCGGTCATAGTAGCTTATTGCATCCGTTTTTGGTGTGTTTATTTTAAAATGCGTTCCGTCCAAACAACCGACTACAAAAGGAAATGTATTCACCCGGCTCGTTTGGAAATGCTCCATGATTTCCTGCTGCTGCGAAACTGATGGCCAACGTATTTCATTTGTAAGCTTGCAGATTGCCCGGACGGTTTTAAGAAAAATTTTATGGTCAGTTCCCTTTGCAACATCAAATTTGTCTGATAGCTCGCGATAAGTCACTCTACTGTTGCTTAGCTTCCACAGTGTGATATATAAAGCATCATCCAATGAATATTCACCGCGTGCCGTTGATCAAAAAGGTTTTAAGGCGTTCTTTAATTCCTTAGAAGGATTTATATCTTTGATCAGTCGATTACCAAAAAGAAAATCAGTAAACTTACAGCAAATGTTTCGCGGGGCATCCGAAAATGCGTGAAATATATATCGTCCGGATACAACTGAATTGTTTTGAAGAAATTTGCCGATTTTGCCACTGTCCTCTTCCTTAAAATTTCGGTCATAAGCCACTTTCTTTTCCGAAAGCTTTGACTCCTTGATTTTTTATATTTTAATAACAAGACGCTGTCGTTAATTTCCAAGTTGTCCACTGCTAAATTTAATAGCAAATTCATTTTTAAAACCTCACTTCGAGCAAATGCAAACTGCGCAAAATATCCGCAATATTTAGGTTAAGTATCAGCTGAGTATCTGCAACAGAGTTGCAAAAGAGAAACAGGGTTGCAGTATTGCAGCTGTTATTGAGTAGCTCGAACAAGCCCTTATTCATAAAAATAATTGCGAATATTACATTAGAATCAGTTGTACAATTACATTTGATACTGACTGTATATTTGCCTCTTAGGTGACGGTTTTAAAAGTGAATTGCTTTTACAACAGTTTTTTGTTTCTTGTTTTATATATATTTTTTCAATTTCAGTTTTGCGCATTTCTTCCATAAACCGGTTGTCTCTTTATTTCTTATAGTTTCTCTCTCTCAATTAACTCCACGTTTTTCAGATGCAGCTCCACTACCTTAAAATGATTCTTGTTTACGTCGTAAATCTTATCTAGCCTGTAAAAACTTTGAATTTAATTTAATATACTTTCTGATTTTTAAAATATATACCTTCGGTAAATTTTTTTTACGCTCTCACGCTGTTCTTTCTGACCCTCAACAGCCATCTCAATGTTATCAGAGACTTTTGTTTGGATTTTAATTTCTTCACTCAGAGCAGCTGCAGCACCTTTTTGTTGTTTTGGTAGTGGAGTGGAGGTCTGTTTTATGGCACCTGTTTTGCTACTTGAAATCGGTAAATCATCGTAATCCCCACGATCCGGGGAAAAACGACCATGTCGTCATCTGACGAAGCTTCCACAGAGATGAGCTGCGTTTCCATGACACTATCATCGTTAATAACATGTGGTATCTCCACTTCTGAAGTAACTTCGACATATTCCACCTACTTCTTAAACCCGAACGTGCTTGCAGATACTCCCTCGACGTATTTTTCCAGTCCAATTAAGTTAAATATGGCCTCTTCAGTTGGCGAGAGTTTCCGCTCCAATATAAGGGCCACCTCCCGTGCCTTTGCGAGCCTTGAGGTTTTCTGATGCCTTCTGTCGGACATATTTTTTTTTATCCGCCCATACCTAATTTACAAAGTGTAATTAAACTTATATACATATATACCTAGTCATAATCAAATGACGGGTACGGTTTAGTTTCGAGGGGTCGGGTATCACTTTTTACAAAGTTTGGACTGTGATTTTTCTTGTGGGTGTGATATTAAGAGCCTCGACACCTCCCCCTCCACCCACTAACGCAAAAACAGTGAGCAAATAACTAAACATTCCCGCAAATGACTAAGCGCCAATAGTATTAAATCATGAAAAGGCACAATAAATGTATTTGGTACTTGAAGTACATTACCTTCTTCCACTCTAGTACGCTTTTTATTGGGGGTCCTTGCGCCAAAATCTCGCTTGCTCCTCCCTATCGCCTTTAAGAAATCCCTTTGCAATGGCAAATCAAGTTGATGAAGAGCTGTATTTGTGTTTTATTTGTTGACCTAAAAAAGATGGTTAGCCTATTATTTTTCATTTATTTTATTAAAATACTTACATCTTGTACTGAAGCTCGTTTGCAATTTGTTGGCGAATAAATTCTCGCGGGTTACCACAGTTTTCCACATTTTATTTGAATTCGGGATGCCTACTTTTCATGTTCGAAAACTTTCGAAGTTGATTAAAATTGGAGGAAAGAGGAACGTGTAAAAACCCGAATTTTTTTTATTTATTTATGATATTAGGATGACGAAAAGTGAGAAAACCCGATCGGATTTATTATTTAGGATTGGGCTGATAGAACTTATCGGCTGAAACTCGGTTTAACCCACCTAGATTGGGCGTTTAAACTTAGCTTAAACCACGTTTAAATTTGACTGAAAAACTGCACACTGAGTTTAAACTTAGTTTAAACGACAACCAGAGTTTGACTCGCACTGAAAAACTGGTCTTTAAAGTATAAACAGAACGAGTTCGCTGAGTAAATTTCGTCAGACGGAGCGTAAAACTGAACCGGAACAATAATTTAGTGCCACTACAAATATTGTGGATGATTGTCCTTGAAAAAATCTTAGTTGGAAAATAAGAAAAGGCTAGACAAAATCCCCGAAGCTAAATCGTAAATTTCGAAGCTAAACGACAAAGACAAAAAATTGGATCTAGCCTCAAAAAGACTAAACTCGTGACATTGAAGAAAAAAGAGGCCGACGATGCTGGCCAACAGGAAATACGCCCGAAAATCTTACCAGAGGGTTAGGCGACTTACGGACGGATTGAAAACTAGGGCGTATTCCTGTAAAAACAACAATGGCGACCTAGTTATCGATGTCCAGAATGTACTTAAATTATGGAGGGAACATTTTCCACCCTACTGAATGGTAGCAGCACTGAAAGTATTGGAAAAGATGAATCCGAGCCCCCAGTCGAAGAAGATGGAGTCGATGTACCACCGCTTGACTATGACGAGGTACGAATAGCGATTACGCGGCTGAAAAACAACAAAGCGGTTGGAGCTGACGGCCTCCCAGCCGAGCTATTCAAGTACGGCGGCGAAGAGCTGATAAGGTGCATGCATCAACTCTTATGCAGAGTATGGTCAGATGAACGCATGCCCGACGACTGGAATTTAAGTGTGCTCTGCCCAATCTACAAAAAAGGCGATCAATACGCGCCAACTACCGCGGGATCAGCCTTCTAAGAATAGGTTATAAGGTCTTATCGAGTGTATTGTGTGAAAGATTGAAGCCCACCGTCAACGAACTGATTGGGCCTTATCAGAGCGGCTTTAGACCTGGAAACTCCACCATAGACCTGGTATTCACAATATGCCAAATCTTTGAAAGACCAGCGAGAATAGGAACGACCCACACCACCGATTTTAAAGCTGCTTTCGACAGCACGAAAAGAAGTTGTCGATTTCTGAATTTGGTATCCCCGCGAAGCTAATACGGCTGTGTAAAGTAACGTTGGGCAATAGCACCAGCTCCATCAGAATTGGGAAGGACCTCTCCGAGCCGTTTGATACCAAACGAGGTTTCAGACAAGGTGACTCCCTTTCGTGTGATTTCTTTAATGTAATATTGGAGAAGATAATAAGGGCCGCAGAGCTGAATCGCTCTCACACAATACTTTACAAGAGCGTACAATTGCTTGCTTATGCCGACGACATCGACATTATCGGTAAAAACAATAGCTACTTCTGTTCTGCCTTCTAGGGATTAGATAGAGAAGCAAAGCGAATGGATCTGGTGGTGAACGAGGACAAAACGAAGTATCTCCTGTCATCACACAAACAGTCAGAGCATACGCGTCTTGGCACCCGCGTCACTGTTGAGAGTTACAAGTTTAAAAAAGTAGACGACTTCGTTTATTTAGGACCCAGCATTAATACCAATAATAATGTCAGCCTTGAAATCCACCGGAGAATCACTGTTGCCAAGAAGTGCTTCTTTCGTCTTACAAAAATCACCCTCTATAAGTCACACATCATGCCTATGCTGGGGCTCTATTCTGTAACTGGGAGTTTTCAAGAGTACACTGAAAATTGTGTGCACTCTTCATTTTGCAATTCAGGAAGAGTGAGAATGAGTTTTAGCTTTCAAAATTGTGTACACTTCCTCATTTTACGATTCAGCATGTGTGAGAATGAGTTTTAACTGTCAAAATTGTGTACACTTCTCTTCCGAAAAACTCACTGAATTTTAGTCGGTGAGTTTTTGGTTGTGAGTTTTGCACTCGGTGTACACTACATTTTCTCACAGTAACAGAATAGAGCCCTTGGTGTTTAGCGCGGAGGCATGGACAATGAAAACATCTGATGAAGCGGCTCTTGGAGTTTTCGAAAGAAAGTTTCTGCGCAAGATTTATCGGCCTTTGCGCGTTAGCGATGAGCTGTATGAACGACATAGACGTAGTGAAGCAAATTAAAATTCAGCGGCTCCGCTGGCTAGGTCATGTCGTCCGAATGGATAGAATCGCTCCAGCTCTGAAAGTATTCAACGCGGGCCGTGATGCTGGTAACAGAGTAAGAGGAAGGCCTCCTCTGCGTTGAAAATGCTAGGTGGAGAAGGCCTGGGTAACGGCGCAAATTTTTTGGCGCTGACACACTAACTCCAGCGCCAATGTCGGAACCAGCACAGTGTGTTGGCGCAGTGGCGCCTCTTCAGGTTAAAGCTCATTTCTTTTATTGCTGCACGCTGCACCAAAGTGAATTAATAAAAGGTTATATCGGTTGAGAAAAAACTCAAGGATACCCAAGTTCAAAACCCATCATTTTCACATTCAGAAGGACCGCGACGAACCTTGTATAAATTCGCCTTGTGCTGCACATTTTACAAGAGACACTTCTATTTCGGGTGTTCTTTGCTGGTTCTTTGCGACACCCGGTGTTGTCAGTGTTCCGGTGTTGAACTAAGGTGAATTAATACAAGGTGGTATCAGTTGGGCAAAAGCAACTCAAGTATACCCAATTTCAAAACCCAAAAATATAACAAACACATAATTTTCACATTCAGAAGGACTGCGGCTAATTTTAGCAACACCACCTTGTAAAAATTCGCCTTGTGCTGCACATTTCACAAGTGAAACTTCGCTTTTGTGTGTGCATTGCTGGTTCTTTGCGCCGTCTGGTGTTGTCAGTGTTCCGGTGTTGCTGGCGCCATTGCGTCACTGAGTTGTGACAGTGGGTATCGGCGCCAGTAACTCAGCTCTCGGTATCAGCGCAATGGTGCAGCGCCGCACTGTGTTACCCACGGCTACTTGGCTTCACTTGGCACTTCCAATTGGCATCAGTTGGCACAGAAGAGAAACGACTGGCGTTCTGTTTTGAACTCGGCCAAAATCCCTTAGGCGGTTACAGCGCCAATAAAGAAGAAGAATAGATACAAAATACTTACAAAGTACATACGAAATTATCAAATAGCAATACTTTTTTTCTTAACTTGAGATGTATGTATATTATTGCGAAGATTTAGTATATGAATACAATC